TTATTATGGAAAAGAACAGTTTATGCTGTACAACGTTCGCTCGGCCATGTACCGGATGTGTACACTGCCGTTTAGATTTAATGAAGAAATGTTGTGAAAGTAGCAATACAAATAGGTTGTAGTAAATTTTTATAACATGGACGAGCTCACAGCAGGTATATCTATGCATTTTGCTGCGAGAACATGCCGATCAATAAATATTAGTGCATCACGTAATAAATCGTTGAAATTCTATTGGATAACGTCGCAGGTACTATGAAACAACTTCGTTTAAGAAACTTTGTCTTATTCACTTCATATTTGCCGAGTAGATTGCAAAGTCATGTGATGCACTAAAAACATTAATGCCTGTTGTTGGGGACACTATGCTGTCATAGTGTTGCTTTGGGAAGGAATAATGCCCTCGCTACCGCTCGGGCACTATACCTTCCCTCAGCAACACTATGAGAGCATAGTGCCCCCAACAACAGGCATATAAGTATTGTTTAACATTCTTTAATATTAGCTCACTGATATTATTAGTTCATGATTATCAATTCGCTGATAATAATCTCGCTGTTGTGAATCATTGTAGGCACAGATGGGCTCATACGTTTTTCTGATCTTTGCCGGATGTATCGCACTTCTCATCACCTACATATTCTTCACGCTACCGGAAACGAAAGGAAAAACCATCGAAGAGATCAGCGCTGTGTTTATGGTACTAGAAATACACTCAGAGAGAGAGAATTTTACGCTCTTACAACTATAGGATTACATGACGAGATGAGGGCTATAATATGCGCTGCATTTGAAAGCATAAATGAGACAGGAATGGGAATAGCTAGATCCTGAATTATTCATTACAGTTATTCATTATCGTTATACTTGTGTATAATCTACCTCAAGGAACGGTGTGCTAAACGGAATAATAAGAAATTGATTGTAATGAATTATCCCATATAGTAGCACAAAGATGGTTAATTGATGAAATACCTCGTTAAGCCCCCCAAACACAAATAAACACGCACACGCACGCGCGACGCACGCGAGCACGCACACACTCACATAATTCGCGTTGCTGGTTATTTGCAGAAAGCGGAACCGCAGATGAGTGGCGTGGGTGAATATGACAATGAAGGGTTCACTCATTATGACTCTCGAACCGCAAAACTAGGAACAAAGCGACGATTGTCAATGCAAAAGTCAGTTAGCCAGGTGATCTGATTACATTAATTATTGTGATTTACATACAGTTATCTTGTGTCAGCTGTACGAAAGTTTTCGATCAATACGGAATGGGCATTTTCTTGTAATACGATAGTTTAATTTCTGTAAATTTATATAAAAAAGAATGTTATACTATCTATTATTATTTTTGTAATTGCAACTGTTTCCAATTTGCCAATAGCAGTTTCCGTAAACAGGTACCAGAGTGCACGTATACTACTGTCCGTGATGCCTGTGATAAGGCTGCGGCTGCTACTGTCATTACTGTTGCTGTTGATGTTGCACTGTCCGTGATGCCTGTGATAAGGCTGCGGCTGCTACTGTCATTACTGTTGCTGTTGATGTTGCTACTGTCCGTGATGCCTGTGATAAGGCTGCGGCTGCTACTGTCATTGCTGTTGTTGTTGATGTTGCTACTAGCTGTCATTACTGTTGTTGTTGATGTTGCTACTA